AAGGGACGCACGAGGCAAATCTGATGTTGGACGTCGACCATGCCGCCGACCGACGCCACATCGGCGCGTGCGTGACACGATCGGATGGCTCACACGGGACAGTGTGAAGGCCGGAGTGTCAAGCAAGACAAACAGAGAGTACGAAAGAGCACGTGGAGCGAGACATCGCCCCTAGAGAGTGCGAGTGTGACAGCTCTGCATTCTTAACGCAGGCCACTCTCCACCAACGGAGAGGATGAGCGCATGAGCAGCAGCGACGTGCACACAGGCGATAGTCACTGTCTCGCCGGTTTCCACAAGGGCAGTCAGTCCTCGGGATAGCGAGTCGCGTCATTCCCAACCCCTCATGCCAAGACTGCTGAACAACGCCTGCGACGGGTTGATGGCCCGACTAACACGTGCCTTGCGCACAAAGAGCAGCATGTCGCCGCACACGTGCCACGGGAATGTCGTAAAGTACTTTGGCTCCTCCTGCCCGAGCGCCGCCCGCTGCTTCTCCTCGTAGACGACCTCGTACAGCGCGCACGCCTCGGCGAGGAGGCGGGGCGGCTCGGAGGTCGACCGTGAGCCGCGCTGCGCCTCGTATGGCGCGAGCAGCGTCTCGCGCAGCGGCGCTACCATCGCAAAGTACTTATCCTGCCACTCGCGCTCGTCGTCTCGGCCATCGCTCGCCACGCCGCCGCCTCCGCCCCCTGTAGCCGGCTGGGCGCGCTCACGCTCGCGCGCCTCGAGCTGCTGCTGCATCTTCAGCGATTTGAAACGTGCCTTGTAGTCCAGCCAGAGCCCCTTCATGCGCTTGCGCATGGCCTGCAGCTCCAGCTCGTTGATCTCCGCCGACCGGTGCAGCTCGAGGCGTAGCAGAGGGTCGAGCTGGAGCCCTGCACTCGCGAGGGCGAGCCGCGCCTCGCCCAGGCTGCACGTCGCAAGCTGTGCGAGGGCCGACGTGCTCTGCGTCAAGTACCTTGTGGCGTCACCGCCCCGGTGCGCGAGCATCCAGTGGGGGCGGGGTCCGATCTTGGCTTGGAGCGTGCGGACCTTCGCGGCCTGCTTTGGGCCGTCGCCCTTGCCGTCCAGCAGCTGCAAGTAGATCTCGCCGAGCTCAACCGAGATGGGGTGGTTGATCCCAAACTTGTCGACCGCGGCTGCGTGGTTGACCTCCGCCATGCCGACCGCGGTGCTCGCGTCGTGACGCGCGGAGAGAAAGGCCTGCTGCAGCGCGGCCTCGAGAGCGGCGCCGCTCGCGAGGCGCGGCGCCGCCTCCAGTGATGGCGCTTCGGCTGGCAGCGGGGCCGCCGCGTCCGCTCCGCAGCCTCCCTGACCGTGGAAGAGCTCGAGGAGCTCTCGCTCCTGGATCACGTAGAACTTGTCGCCGTCGTAGTCGCCGCCTGCGAGCATGTCGGCGAGCGGCTGCGCGCCATGTACCGAGAAGAAGACGGCCGACGCGCGGCCGAGGTCGACAGAACGGCCGTCGCCGAAGAGCTCCTCGGCGAGCTCGCGGCAAAAGACGGATCGCACCGATCGCACGTCGCTCGCACGCACCCCGGGCGGGTGGTAGACCTAGGGGTGTGGATAAACAGGGTGTGAAGTGCGGCAAGGGTGCCAGCAGAATGCATGTATTCTCGACTGCTAGCTAGTTGGAATACAATGAAGTCGGGGAAGCAGGGGAGACAGTTTATGATCTAGAGCCGAAGACAAGAGCGTCACTCACGAGCGGCACCGGCCCTGCCCTTGCCCCCGCCGCAGCGCTCAGCGAGCCAGCCCCGCGCACCACCGCGAGCGGCTGGCAATGCTTGCCATCGATCACGAGGAAAATTTCGCCCTCGCGCAAGCTGCCGGTGAAGTCGGGGAAGCCCATGACGTTGACCGAGTCGTGGCCGAGGCGCATCTTTCCCTTGCGCAGCTTGCTCAACGCGTTGTCGATCCCGCGCTGGCACTGCTCAAGCAGGTACGGCTCGTGCAGCACCGAGCAGCCCGCGTCGACCATGTCGGCGATCGATGGTGTGCCGAGGCCGAAGCGGGCCGCGTGGCCGCCCGCTGCACCCTTGTTGTGGACGGCCTTCAGCGCGGCAGCGAGCTGCTGCCCACGGCTCGAGCTCGGGCGCTGCAGCTGGAGCACCTGCTCCGCCTCCGCCGCCGCTTGGCGGATGAGGTACGCGTAGAAGCGCTCGCGGCCCTCGGAGCTCGCTGCCTCGAGAATGGGGATGAGCTGTGCGTTGAGCCGAGGCTGGTGCTTGCGCGTCTGGTCGATCAGCTCGAGCGCGAAGAGCCGCTGGCTTTCCGCAGTGGCGAGTGCTTCGCCGCTGCTGCCGCCGTGCGAAGCACTCGCCTCGACCTTGATCTGCGAACTGGTGAGGACGATGACGCCAGGCGGCAAGCTCCGGCAGGCGAGCAGTGTGCCCTTGGCGAGGGTACCGTGAGCGTAGACGCGCCCCTGGCAGCCGAGCGGCGAGAGCCCGCCGCCGTCGCCAGGAAGTAGCGCACCCTCACTCACGTTCGGCAGCATCGCGGCCAGGTTGCTGGCGATCAGCCCCGCGCCGTCCGTCATGACCATCGCACCACGCGCCGCCGGAATGTCGTCGACGATATAGATGTGCACTAGGCCAGCTGCGCCGCCGGCTGCGCCGAGGAGCGGCGACCCCGGCCTCAAGGGCAAGCAAGGGGCCGCGTGGGCAGCACGGCGGGTCTTGCCCGCGCGCCAATCAAAGACGCGGCAGCGGAAGCCGTCAAGGGCGCGCTGGGTGCCGGAGAAGGGCAGACAGAGCCGCTTGCTTAGCTTGCCGATTGAGCTCATCGAGTGGAAGGAGGCGAGCAGGCCGCGCGCCTCGCGCACCCCGCGCCATGTCGTCCACGCGGGGCGGTCGCCTGCCAGCCGCGCGGCGCCAGCGGCCGCCTCGAAGGCGGCAGAGTCGGCCAGCACGCCGCTCTCGCGCAGGAAGTACGCCTTGCTATCGGCCATGCTCTTGCCCGCCTTGAAGCCGAAGAAGAGGAAGCGCACGCCACAGAGCTCGATGCCGTCGCTCAGCACGCGCTGTTGCTGTGCTTGCGGCGCTGGCCCTTGCGATGACGCCGCTCGGTCAGGCAACGATTCGAACTCAACGTGTAGCCAAGCCTCGGCACCGAAGAGCCCGTGCGCTAAGGTGCGCCCGTCCCTTCGCGGCTCAAGCATCTCGAGCGCGCCGCCGCTCGAGACGCGCACGCGGTACCTGACAACCGAGCCAGCCGGCGCAAACGGCAGCACGAGCTGCTGGTCAACCGCACGGCGCACGGCGGCGGCGCGCTCCTGACTGCGGCGGTACCGGAGCTCCGCCGACGCGGTGGCGTCCAACGGCGGCAGCGGCGCGTCGTGGCGCAGCCACGCCTCATGGAGCAACGCGAGCGACTCCTCGCTCGGCTGCCAACCAGAACGCGCGCGCTGCCGCTCAAGCTCCCAACGGAGTAGCCAAGGCGTGGCGGCCGCCGGCGACGCGGTGCCGTCGGGAGGCGCGGAGGGCGAGGTCAAGGTGGAGGGTGCGCGCTCGGGCGTCGCGGCGCTCGGCGGTGCGCCGTGCAGCTGGCGCTCGGTGAGCAGGTGCACCGCGCCCTGCGTCTCCGCGAGCGACATCTCGAACTCCTCCTTCTCGTCGTGCGCGCTCGCGGCGAAGCGACCTCGCTGCGCGCACCACATTCGCACCGTTCCGCCGCGTCCGTTGACGAGGCACTCGCGCTGGAGGAGCTCATGCCCGTCGGGCCTCCACTCCTCCTCTCGGCTTGTCTGTATGGCAATCGAGGCTGCCTTCCCCACTACCTGCAGTTCACTCGTCACCTCTCCCGCGAGCTCCCCTCTCTTTCTTTCGGGTATGGAGTCCGTGAGTGCGGGTAGCGTGCAGGCAATCACGGGCGCTATTTTGTCGTACTCCTCTTCGGCGAGCGCTCCAAATCTAGACCCTTTCGCCTTTAAGGAGGCTGCCCTCGCTCGTCTCAGGAATGTGGCGGTGTCTTTTGAGTCCGGCGCCTCCCGTTCAACTCTTGCTGTCGCCCTCGCTGTGTGTTTGTCGAGCTTCCGCATGAAGTGACTTCCTCCTCTGGCGCGTGGGATGTGCTTTCAAAATTCTTTTTTCAGCCCCGACGCCGAAAGGGAGAGGTGTTTTGCGCCACCTCTCAGCCTCCCCGGAACCTCGACATCCTCACAAACCACCCCGCCACTACCGCCTCCCCCCCGCCCCTCTCCCGCCCGCTCTCTCATGAGCACCGGATGCGGCGCCTGCACACATCTGCCCCGCGCTTCGCCATCTGGACTGGCGTCCCCACCAAAAGCCTCCGTAATACAGCTGCAGTCGTCCCCCAAAGACGGGCCTGCGCCGTCACACAGCCGCCACATGCGTTCCAGACGCTCCCTCACCGCTCTCGAATCCCCCACGTCCTCACTCTCTCCTCTCTTTCCCTTGCGCCGCGACCACGACCGTCCGCCGCCGCTGCAGGGCACACAGCCGGCGATGCTTTCCAACGCGCTCCGCACCGGCGCGCGGCCGCTGGCAGCCGGCGCGCTGCGCAGCTCTCTCGCCCGGCAGGCTGCACCGGCGGCCCGCCTCGTGCACGCGACGCGCGCGGCTCGCGAGGATGCTCCAAAGGCGCGGCGCAGCGCTGCACCCTCGCCCTCTCGCCCTTCCCCCCCTGCCACTGCTGCCTCGCCCAATCTCGGTCGCAGCCGCTGTCGCAACTTGCCCTGCCCGTTGAATCGCCACACTCCTTCAG